CGTTGTGTTACTCGTGTGCGGCTCGTGCGACCGACTTCACCGCCTGCCAAAAAATTTCATTATTTCATTCATTTTTATTTCATTTCATATTATTTCAAAACGGTCCACTTTCAAATTTTCAGGCAATATTCTCCGTAATATAATAACAAATTACCGAAAAAAATATTTAATTTGACTTAAAAATTTATTTAAAAATATTCAAATTTTGAAATAATACAAATTGTTGCATAACAATTATTAAACGACCGAATTTTCGACCACTAAAACGTGGACTTCAAAGTGAACCCTATTGCATATTTTGTCCTCCAGTGCTTTGCTTTTCGTCTAAAAGTGGGCGATGTACGATACATTTAAAGAAGAACCGGTTTTTTGGAATCAATAAATTAAAAGTTCGATATTTTTAAAATTCTTCATATCGTATTGAAATTAAAAAAATACAGTTTATTTCTTTCTCCTCAAGAACAAGGGAAACAATTTTCAGGAGAATTAAAAATTTGGTTTTAAATCTGACCCATATGTATTGTGACGTTATTTCACGTCACGAGTCTGGAATAAGTTGACTGTCGTGTTTATCATTCGTGACATAAATTGCCGGCCAAGAACTCCAGGGTCACAATTATTGCAAATATCGAACATTAGGTTAATTTCTTTTGTAAAACCATTTCATGCATTACGAATTCGGCCACAACATCCAACATCTACACGTCACTGGAGGAGAATCACCACGAGGCTACAGCTGGGATAGTGGGTGACGATCCAAAATCAATAGACGCCTCCACCCCGCCGCCAACGAGACCCCAATTGAATAGGGGGTCGGCATCGAAGAAGGTATCGCCATGGACCGTTTCGTTCTTCTCGTTACGGCCGGTATCGATGTCCCGAAAGGGAAGGCATGAACAGTACTGAAGAGGACGGGGAGCAGGAGCTACCCCGGCGTGAGATTTCGTGAACTCCGCCACCTAGCCCTCCCGACCTGGTCCGGACGAAGAACACCACCAGAGCGACCTGGACACGCTGAAGCTACGGCAGCGAGCTAGTGACAGTTTTGAAGATCCCGATTTACTTATTCCAGTTTTGACCGACTTCCGGTGCATCGCATATCAGCGATTGTTAGTAGGCTCCGGCAATTAATTATTCCCAAAAAAAAAACACTCAGGGCACCTCCAGGCATCGCCCACTTTCCGGTCCAAAAGCAATTCTGGGACACCCTGTATGTATACCTAAAGGCCCGAAAAAAATGTCGAAATTCGGATTTTTTTTTCTGAGCAAAGATTGGTGAAAATGAAATGCATCTTTTTTACACAAAGGTACATCTATTGAGAACCTTTGAAAGAAAGTCATGAAAAAGTATAGAAAGAAAAAAGTATGACCTCCGGCAGATGATGCAATTTTATTCGTGATGTTTGGCGGTGCACTCTCCAGCTGAAACGGTTCATCTGCAATCTAAAAACCAAACGAGTTATTCCAGTTAAGTAATAATAAATAGGAGGCTATGACGATTGTTGGTTTTTTAAATCTTTATTTTACAAAATGGGGACGAATTGAATCTCGAGCATAAAAATCTATGGAAAAAGTCATCATGTTTACGTTACTATTAAAAAATGAAGATCGATTTAAAGAAAAGTGAAATTGTCAACGACCCTTAAATATTTCTTCTTGTATTTCGTGTAAATTTCAAATGAATTCATTGAGTGGTTCTTGAGATATGATATCCAGCGACTTCGAAAACAGAATTTTGAGAAAAACATATTTAAAGTTTGAAGTATGGTGTTGTTATTTTTCCGCGAAGAATTTTTAACTTCATCTCTAGTCGTTAATTCCAAGACAATATGAATTATCCTCAGCAGCAATTGCAACTTCATACGTCTGCGAGCAATTCTTCCTTCGCGCGTCACCTCCTGAGTTCGAATTTCGAATTCGAAAAAAAATACCGCGCGAGGTAGCGAAACCCGACGCTCGCTCGGCCGACTGTTAGAAGCTGTAGCTCAGTCAATTTTGGAAATACCTCAATTAAATTTTTAGGGAATATAGCGAAAAGGTGATACTACCGAGTAACTATATTTTTGGAAAATGAAATTTTTTGACCCACCTACGTAGATTTAGCCCCTTAAAATAAAGGAATCAAGAGACTCAATCGAGTTTCGTTATAAGTACAGGCACCTGACAGACAGATACTCTTTACCAGAAGGAACTCTGTTGCCAAAATCGACAATCTACAGTAGAGGCTACCGGCGGTAAAGATTTGCAACTTTACGAAGGGAAAACTTGCGTTATTGAGAAGTTTCACGGAGATCTTTAAAAACTTTATTAAACTTATTACAGTGCCTTAAAGAGCGTACTCACACTATATGGAGTTGAGGGCTATAAATAGCTTTACCGTGCAGTGGTCAAATTGTTATTTTTTACGCGTTAGCATAATTTTCTCTCATTTCTTCAATGATGCAAAAAGTTCCATATTGGCCTGCCCGACGTTGCTTTCCACTTTTTAAAATCTATTAACATATATTTTCAGAGAAAAACACCCGATGGAGAAGATCCGACCCAGGTTGCTGTGCGTTTATCAGGCAAGCCTTAACATTAACAGAAGTTCCAGAATAAGGTGCATCGATTATGTTGGCATCTTTATCGCAAAATACCTAAAAGCAGTATGAAAAGGCAATCAAGGTATGGTGGGACTTTATCCGAGGGTCGATATTTCCCCATTTGGATATTTCCTATTCTATACAATTCTTTATAGAGTTAGTCATAAAGATCAGTTCATATAGTTCTCTGAATACTGTGATATCTTACTTATATAGATCAGTGATCTCATTAATCATGAAAAATGAATTGGACAAAGATATGATAATATTCCCTGTAAAGAAATAGCGAGCTTAAAACCTAAAAGCCAAAATATTTCAAAATTTAGGATTCCAGTTTGGTCTTACAATATCTATTGTAACCAAATGAAGACTTATGATTGAAAATGCTAACCAAAATATTGTTAATCGTGTTAGCTCTTATTACTGCTTAAGGGGCTCAAACATTATTTAAGATCAGATTGGCGACATATCGAAGATCACGGTTGCTGATACATCGTTTCAATTCAGAATATCTGGTCGTATTAAGACACCAAGGCAAAATCGACATCAAATGATTCCAGATAGATCCTTGTTTGTGGAAAAGTCAAGATTATGTGTAACGTCGTTATTTGTAATTTTCATTGGTCAGGTGTGTTATAATGTTCAAAAATAATTATGAAAACATATTTTAAAACACGAAGAAAATGGAAAAACGAGGAAATTAGAGGACATATCATTTTTATATAAAATAGTGAAATATTTATAATATTAATACAAGAAAATAGGGTCTAATAGTTGGAAACTTGGATTAATTAAATCTGAAACATTTCCCTTTCAATATTATAACCGTTCATTTAATTCCATGTATTATACGTAACATGGATGATATATAAAATAGCCCTTTTGTCTTTACCAATTTGAACTATATTGTATATTATAAAAGAAGAAATACAAAACGCGATATAATTAATTTAACATACTATTATCTATAATTGATTTAACATTCTCTGTAAACTTATTTGGTCAATACCTGTTATCTATGGTAGCCTGTACGTAGTGCTTTTGTTTATCCGATACGTTTCATTCAAATGACAATTGGCAAAAAGGGCCAATATTTGCCGCTTACCGGACAGGACAAAGCACTGTTTCAGCAGTGGGAGTTACCTGGACTATAGCGCTATCATTCACGCATTAAATTCGGCGCGAAATATAAAATGATCGTTACAGTTTGAAGAAGTTATTATTTTGAACTACGAATAAGAGTATGGTGTAATAACGGGAATAGCTTTCATTTTGTTTAAATTATGTATATAAATATAGGTAAATAGAAATCGTTTTTTAAAAATATTTTCTGCATTACCGACACAAGATATACATGGGAACCTATACATCGCAACCTTGTTATACCAACGGAGTGCTAATCGGGTGTCATCTCCCGGCCGCTAATAGCATTATTCAACAACCGTTCTGTGGGGCTTACAGTTATAATGATAGTATTAATAAATTATGACTGAATTAGTAGTAAAATATTGCTGCATGAGTGAGATATATTTTTATAGCTGCAACAGCTATATTACAGCTATACATATAATTACTAAAAAAATAGCAACAAATATATAATTGCGTGGATCATTATATTTTGACTATTTTCACCATGTCACATTTAAATGTTGGAAGTACGTAAGGAAAGATATGACTGCGTCAGTTATTTCATTATGGTTAACCTAACAAAAATAACACAATCTTTTATGAATATTTTCAGCAGCAATACCATATCTCTGTCACTATCTTAATCATATTGTATGACTATAGTGATCATGAATATGATTGATACTACTATAAAAGATTTTTCATGTGGAATTGTTCCAACGTCATTATTTCTTTATTTATCCAATTCATCTCTGTATATTTTTAGGATGACGATTACGTAAGATCCTCCTGCAATGTTTCCTGCCCTACAACCTGAGCAGCAGATTCGAAGTTGGTAGAGGAAAGCGAGGCAAAGCAGACTTCTGGGGTAAAACGGACAGCGTGCTCAATAATTCCAAATTGCTGGGAAAATGATTTCTATATTTTTATTAGACTTTCTATGGATAACAAAAGTTTGGAGATATAACCTCGAAAAGGAAATCATAAAAAAATGCTTCTTTTTATGCCGCGCTCTTTTTTCTTACGCAAATATACTTCCTTTTCTATATAACAATATGAGACATCGACAGTTTATTTGCTGGTTGCAATATGCCCGTTTCACCCTGGCTGCCTTTAGTGCTCGTTTTGCCCCGCACACCTTTATAAGTTAAATTAACGAGGGATTTTAAACGGCTTGCTATGATATCAGTAAGGTATAACTGTAGTTATATCCTATTGATACGTAATTAATAATTTGATTTTCAATATTCAATATCGATGTATCTTATTTATATTGATGATCCGTTCAAGGTGGTTTCCGTGACCATGGTCCCACTCCGATGGCACGCACGTATTTGCAAGTATGTCCAGTGAGCGGTGGTTCCCCGGGTTCGATTAATGGGGCTAATTCTTAGAAATACATGCATAAATGTTTTATATATCATTATTGAATCATATATAAAGAAGAACCAACAGGCAAAATGTTATCCATTACTCCAAGATCCTCGAGCGTGAAGATACACGTGGTAAGCATCGCTTAAGATTAAACCTGATAATTTCTCTATCAAAGCGCACGTGTCAGTGCATAAAATGTTTATTACAAAGTATGCATATGCATGGTTTTGAATTAAATATATTTTATTTTTTTATTTAAACATATATTTACGTTATTTCAGGGGAAACCACATGTGGTTTGCTTAGAATTAAAAAAAAAACAATGAATTCGTGAACCAACTAGTGTCTTTGTAAACCATTAAACTAGAAAGAAAAACAAAGTAATAATTATATTATTATTCGTTACGGTTAGTAAGAAAGGAATATTCGAATTTGAGTAATATAGAAACTTGTATATTTTTGATGTAATAAGGTCATGTTAATAAATTCCAAATTTAGAATTATGTATCTTTCTTTAGTTGAGTTCAGCCTACAATCAGATTCATATCAGTCTTGAAAAGGCTTTATAAAATTTTATCTGTGATGAATAAACTATATTTACATTTTTACAGAGAAACAACAGAAACAAAGATGAAGAAGTTTGTTGCTTTGCTGGCGATTGTCGCAATTTATGCAATGGTTGTCTCAGCCGAACCTGCGCGTCCAGGAAGTCAGTATACAACGAAACGACCAGTTCAGCCCATCCGGCCTGTCAACAAGCCCACACCTCACCCGGTAAGTACATGCGGGTTAAAATGATAAACTGCACTATCGTTATAAAGTCATAATGTATTTCGCTATAAAGAAAATTGTCTAAAGTAAAAAAATGGATATTTCATTTCAGCGTATCCGCCGTGAAGCATCTGAAGACGGAAACCGCAAACCTGCATCGGCACCAGGTCGAAAAATAAAGCCCCTAATTTCCTTGACTGAAGATGAATATCGCAGAATAAATGGTTTACCTCCAAAGCCTAAGGTGGCTGCTGTTCATCATTGAAACACGTTATTGAATAAGACTACAAAATTAACGTGTTATATTTTGAATGCCCCTAATAAATATTTAACCAAACGCTAATAATTTACTATTAGTACACCTAGCATATCTTGGAAAACTCAAATACATACTTTTTAACTGTCAATTGTTTTTAGCAATACTGGATGTCTTTTAAAATTGTTTAAATCAACCTGTAAATCCAACTTATATGTCATATATTTTATTTATATCAGCATTTGTTTTAACGAAAATCTTGTGATCTATGTGGGACTGTTTTATGAATTGTGCGTGTGGAATAGACGCGAAGGAATAATTAAACAATAATAATAAATAATAAAAAATAATAAAGTAATTTTAAGAGCGTTGTTTCAGCTTTGGTCACCACGTCACAAATAACGTAGTCCACAATTTCGCGTTAGAGTAATTCTTTTCAATTGCCCATTTGCAGCATTATACATTTGCCAGCACTAGGTGCCATTGCTTGCCGGTATAGATATAAGAAACAGAATTCTATCGTATAATTTCCTTGAGTTAATCATAGCAGTAGTCAGGAGGAGAAAATATTAGAGATTATTCCCTTTGACATTCCGCGAACCCTAGACTACATACAGCAAGAGTTAGCAGATAGGCATCCAGAGAAATACTCTTTTAGGCACGACGAATAGCCACAGGCCTAAAATAAGAAACGCAAGTACCAGCAAGCCATTAGTTAAGCTACCAGTGAATTAAATTAAATCGAATTAAGCATTAGCACATTTTAATATGAAATATCGTTATCCCTACCAAAATTAACGCATCCCTTCCGAGGATATAAACAGCATCTTCCTCGATAGGGATCATTGATCTCTGATCATTCTATTCTGATAACTCGTTTAGTTCAAGACGGAAAATCCTAAGTAGAAATCGAGAATGCGACAAGAAGCATCAAGTTGAACAGTATTAGAAGCTATTAAAAAATCTATGTTGCTTCCTTATAAATTCATCATCCTTGCAATACATCTTTATAAATTCCTCGATTTTAGACAGCACAGTATCTCGTCTAATTGTAAGTATCATGAAGCATAGCTGCAGCAAAGGCACTGTGATGGAGCTCTTAGGAATCTATCGATTCCTCTACCGAAATCTCTAGGTTCGTTCCCCAACGTCATTGTGATTAATAGCTGTTTGAGCTATGGTATTCCCAAGCTTCTCCACGTCTAATACCTTTTAATACCCGGGAAGATTTCTTGAAGTAACTGCATCAACCTACAGGGAAGTTATTGTAATAGAACTGTCAAGACTGCAGGGCAGGGTAAACATTTTAGGTATGGGACATATTATCGATTGATCATTTTACATGGTCCATGTAAGATTTCGTACAGGTACGTCTAGCGAGACTGTTCCGTACTTCACTTTTATTACGAAGAATAACTTCAGACTACGGAATAGATCCAAAAATCTGACAATGATCTTTCCCGTACAATCAATACGACTTGGATCCGAAATGGATTTAGGTATGATCTTCGTACATTAAGAAATTAGACCATTATAGATCATTTATGGATCGTTCATAGATCATAGATTCAAGCTATATTCACTTCGCGGGAAAGATCATTCTCGCACCAATTTTGGATCCATCTCGTAGTGTGAAATTATCTTTTATAGATTGAAACATGATCTGCTGTGAAATATAAATAATTGGAAGTACCGCTCAGTCTCATCAGATGTACCTATGCGCGATCTTATAAGGACCATAGGAAACGATCAATCAGTAATCCATTCCATACCTCAAATTTTTACCCAGGAGTGTTCATCAGCCACAAACATTATTTCTAAAAATCACAAATTTCTGCCAACAGGGATTATAGTGATCATATATGGTTCTAAATCATTACCTGCCTTATTTTACACCGGATTACACCAGAAAGATTATATGTTGTGTTTTATTGCCATTCTAGCCATAAATATTAGCACAGAGAACTGATATATAAATACTTTCTATCGTGTCGTCTATCGATCTAGTAGAAATAATATATAAGATTATAAGAGTGCGTGTAAGAGTGTATGGAAAAATGATAAGTGATCTTGCAGTCTAAAATTTGTAGGATAATAAACCATAGTGTGATTTTCTTTTACAATAAGTGTCATGTTGTATAAAGATGACTGCCCATTGCATAAATCTATTAAAAATTCACCTGATTTCTACACCTAAACTATTACGAAATATTTGGCACTGTTACGAGCTTCCTAAATTCGCGGTAAACTGATATATCGAAGATTTCGGTTGCCGTCTCATAATTTTATCGACAAATTAGGGAAACAGTTTATGAATACGATTTCAAATTGTACATTCAATACTTGGATTAGGATCATTTTTGCAAAACATCCTTCCATACGGACTTGATTCAAGCATTACAAAATGTTATACTATGAAAAATTTAACGTCCGATGCTGAAAAGGTAATTAGAACATGCATTGTGTACCTGACAATTGCAATAAAATTGTTTTACATGTATTAAATTTCGATATATGGAGTTATGTACCCTAAATACGCAATCAAGCAATAACGGTTTCCGTGGTGTAGTGGTTATCACATCCGCCTAACACGCGGAAGGTCCCCGGTTCGATCCCGGGCGGAAACATAATTTTTATTTTTTAAGATTTACATATTATATAATTAAGAACCATTAACACAATCAATAATAACTTAGAGCCAATAATTTATATAATATATTACAAAATTAGAATACTAATAAGAAAAACAATTATAATTATTGAAACAAGCACTAAAATCTCATAAATGTTGTTCATAAAAAGTGTTATCTGGAACAAGACACAGCTGTCTGTGACAGTAATTATGACGTATCACTTGCTGATGGCAAATCGAAATAAATTTAGAGAGCGGTAGTTCCCCGATAGCATAAATGGCGCTGGGGGTCAATAGGTGTCGCTGACCTTTGTCTATTTTTATGATAATGAGACTGTTATAACCGGATGTTAACTATTCCTGATCCGTTTTGCAACACATATTTCGTTCAGACAGCAAAATACAAACTTAATATTTGTTTTGAAATTGAATGATTATTAATGAACGTTTTTTAAAAGGAAAGTGTGTATTCAATGGCAAAAGTTTTATTCCTTAAAGGCATAATAAATGTATATGGTAGGTATATACAGCATACAGTATATTGTAACAATTGTGTATTTAATAAGGTGTTACATATATGATAAAAAATATATAACATGTCATGTTAATTCTATCGAAGAAATAAAATGGACTCTGCGGATGTAATATTTCGCGGAGTTATTGACATTCCAATTAGATTAATATTCAGATCCCAAGAAAGAGAGTAGGTATCTCTTTATTTACGTAATTGTAATTGGACTCGAATGCTAGTGCGTTGTTTGGATGTTGACCCGTAGCAGCTCACTCGTAATCTAGATATAGTAGGCTCCCGTTAAGTGTTAGTTCGATAACTTTTCGCTTTTTCTCCGATTGCTTGTATATCATGTGCCGTGGGGCATTCGGATTATCCTCACACGGATAAAAGAATATATTAATACATTGGTGAGAAATGACGCATAAAAGCGTCATTTAAGTTCTTTACTTTATTACAAGTCTAATATTCTAATTCTGTATAAGAAAAGGTACTTTGCTCTCTTTCGTAAAATTTCTTTCTGAAATATTCGTTAGATCAGATTAGACAGCAATTTTTCTAACCTTAGGCGATTGGAACGATTGACGCAAAATGGTCCCGTAGTCACGTCAAGCGCAACGCCCCGTCGCCAATGTGTTAATATTATTTCGACAGTCAAGTATCAGCGCTCAGAATGTAGATATATGTATAGGTCTTTATAGTGATGATACTCGATCGAAAAGTAATGGTTACTAAACTACTTGTAATCTATACAGTTGAATGTAGTTAACCGAAATCGATATTTAACATTAAGCAGCCATCGAACAATACTACCTATACAATAAATATTGTACAGCTCTTATTCATTATGTCATTAGATTAATATTCAGATCCCAAGAAAGAGAGTAGGTATCTCTTTATTTACGTAATTGTTATTGTATTGTTGATGTTGTATTCTGACATCGATGTTGTAAACCTCGATGTTGTATCCAACAATCATTACCCCTTTGAATGCCAAGCATGTCTAGAGACGTCCTATTAAAAAAAAAAAAAAAGAAACAATTGATTTTTACCACTGTTATCTTCACGAAACATGTCATCTAACAATTTTTGGGGTTACTGAATCCAAATTTGAGGTCAACATTATTATATGCAAAATGGCGGATGCCATATGCCAGTATGACAGCTAAAAACATGAAGAAAAATGCCATTTGTATGAAAAATAATTCTGAATTTTTGTATCGTCACTGAATTCAAATTTGGGATAAAATATTTTAAAATGAAAATGGCGAATCTAATATGACGATCAGAAATATGAAAAAAAATACTGTAATGAGTTAACCAGTTTTAAACATATTAATCTGAGCGTTTTTTGCATCGATTGCCACGATATTAGATCCTACATCTTGAATACGTAAATTTAATTGAGTAAGATTTACAATACGATTCTTGAGATATTACAAAATCAATAAGTGTCCATGTTCATCATATACATACATATATATATATCTAGTGATATATCCACAATTTTATAATAGCAAACTAATGTTTTTTTTTTAAACTACTACCTTGGGACATCACAGCATTGGAGTTCTGACCTAACCTAACCTAACGAAACATTTCTAAACTTATCACAAATACTGGATGCCTAACATTGAAAAAATATAAACAAACTTGGTGAGACATTCCGCTTTATGGTTCTCGAAACAGTCATTACTCATTAGTCATTATGATGGAAAATCTTTGAGGACGGTCCTGAAAACAGCCACTTGTCCTCAAAATAGCGTCTTCGTATAATAAATGAAATTGTCCCCAAAATATCCCCTAGCAAAAATATATATACTGTATACTGTATACTTTGTGAAGTGTACAAGGAACGTCGAGACTTCCGTAAAACCTCGAATTTATTTGCTAGTCAACTATATGCACCTAAAAACTACTATAACTTAATCGCACGTCGTGTCCTAGGGTTAGCGTGTTTGTGTGCGTGAAAGGTGGGAGGAAAGGATAAGACCGTACACGCGATCCCTACTTCTCGCCCCTCCTCACCGTCTCTTCGGGCTTCCCCTAACTTCCTAGACCTCACTCTCTCTCTCTTTTACTTCCTGACCTTCGCGCCTTCTCAAGCTTGCTCCCGTTTCTCTCCTTCACTAAAATATGTCAATAAGATATTTCTTATAAATTCTTCTCCACGTAAAGTAATAAGGAAAACTTTTGTACGAGTACCGCGATGGGATTCCCCTGTCTTCCGTTTAAAGCTTCGATCAGCTGCGCGTGAACGTCAGTCACTCTAGTACCTATATAAGACGCTTGCCGTTTACTAGTCGCATATTCTCATTCGTTCTTTCACACTCAGTATCTTCAGCTGTGTCAGAAGCAAGTAAGTAATAATAAAGTGATAATTTAGTAGTAAAAGATGTTTCCAAAGTATATTACACATCCTGTTAGCATATTACAAAATTGTGTTAGTATCATGAAGTATACTTCGTAATTACTTTCTTTGCATGTCTTGTGTGGAAAATCTCTTTTTTTTACATAATTTTAATCCTCAACCTTTATTCACAATTATTCTCTGCAATTTGCTTTAACTCATATTAAGATGATGGATGTCATCAAGATTCCAATATACTTTTACAATTTTCTCAATAAATATAATCATTCGAATAATAGTTTATATTGTTATTTATGTAGACCGCAATTTTAAAAACGGGTCGTACAATTTTATTTGTTGCGAAGACCAATAGGTTTTACTTTTTGAAGATCAGTTATCAAATACGTCACTATATTTGTATGCCTTTTAATGTGTACTATTCCGAAATATTTATTTGCAGATCTTCCAAGATGAAGTTATTCGGCATTTTAATGGCCATGGTCATAGTTATCCTTTTGGGATTCACAACAACCGAAGCACAGAGATTCAAATATAACATCCCACCATTCAATCCACGTGGACCCCCCAAACTACCGCCCATCAGATTCTGAATATTCTAAAAGGAAGAAAGAGGAATTGGTTGATTAAAAAATCTGTGTCTGATAATTAAATATAATGCATATTTAATAAACGTTTTTATTTATAATAAATATCATATTAAATGTGGGCATCTGAGATTTATTCACTAAACGGAAGGGGAGGACGTACGTGGTACACTTAAAAACGTTGGTGGGCAAAATTCATATCAAACGTTTATGTACCATTAGTATTTGCAAACTTACAACATTTTTTATTTTAATAGAGCATATACATGAGGTACGTTTTTATTGCGACGGTAAATACAAAGAATGTGCGATTTTGTGAACTTTGCTTAATTTATTGTACTTCAAGGAAAATATCATTTGAATACTTAATACCAAGTTCAGTAGAAGATATACTTAGAATGTCTAATACTTCACTAGATTTGATTTAAATCGACAACTACAAAGGGTTGATTCATAATACGACATGTTAACTAGAATTATCGTAGTAGTTGAGAGGGATGAATAAAAAAAATAATAAAATGTTTAAATATCAACTGGAAAGATAGGAAGAGAATACAAGATTTTAAAAAACAATCTATAAATTTTATAATAACAAACAAATAAGGACAGAGCAAAGCATTTAGAAGAAAGAATGGGAAAATAGGCCTTCAAAAAATGTTATGAATTTTTCTAAATAAATGAAACAGGAAAATGAAATTTTTGTTAATAAATAACTAGTTAATTCCAGGATAGTTGGATCCGCTCCTCGGACTTTAAAGACTTTACTATCTATGTATTTTAAATGGTTGGTCTGTCTCAGTCGGCGAGTCCAACTATCCCGGAATTATCCTGCTATATTAATTATATGTAAAGTTTTATTTCGTAACTTGCAATACGTGGCTTATATAACAGCTAGTGTTTCTAGTTCAAAGTATGATAATTTTTTCGAAGTTAGTGCTTTTAGAACTAAAATAGCACGCCGGGTGTAAGGTATATTGCCATTCGATCTGTATAGCACAATGGTTCCATAACGCTGTGATCAAGCGTTGATGTGATCTCGATTTATTTTGTCGGTTCGTATACTTTCAATACGGAAAGGAAATTCTGTAATTTTTTAACGACAGTTTTAAGTGTCATTATATTTCAATATTTTTATTTCAACAATTACAACCATACGTGGATACTCTGGTAGCGTATCCGGAGCGACTACAATATAAGCAGTTAATCTACAGTTTCATTAAGTTTGATTATAACGTATGAAAATAATATAGGTGGAAAATACCGTAATCAGCAGTATTACCTATTTTGAAAAGTCGCAAGTACTGGAGAATGGAACAGCTCGTCGAACTTCGTCGCAACGGTGCTGCAACGCGTTGTAACAAGCCGTGGAAATACGCGTAACGCAGGGTACTACTTTTGCACGCTTTTTGCCGCAGGACTAAAATCTGCCTGGAACGCTAGAGACTCGACATTGTGATTGGAAGAACGTAACGGTATGTGCGTTAATGTGAAAATTTGCAGTTTATATGTATAAACACCGCCTAACTAATGATAGCTTGGGAAGACTGAGCACCACTGACAGTGGCCTGTGCACTTTTAGGCTAGTCAAGATGTCATGTAAAGTTGAAGCATGGAAAACTTTGCCTGCATGCTCTTTTTTTGCTTTTATTCAGTGATTCTGTCCAAAAGTGCGCTAAGTAATCGAACAGGGAATGAGAAAGGAACTATCGGCACTAGAATGAACACATGAAAAAAGGCTCCTCCGTTCTCCTTAACACTAGATTTACGGGATCCGTCAATTTGACGGAATTCAAACTTTGCAATGAAATATCTCGAAAACCACTTGATCGATTTCAACCGTTTTGCATCGTAGATTAATCATTTCTTCTAAAGAATTTATAGACACAGTTTTTTTTCCCTAAGTCTTTTACTTCTTGAGATTCATATATGGTATACCTATCTCTACGGGACCCGTCAAATTGACGGGTAAGCTTATCTCGAAACTAATCCTTATATTTTTGCTTCGTTCGCCACATTATTCATCCAGTAGGAAATACAAGAGTGAAAGCAATGTCTTTATGATCTCCGTTTCCATTTCGTTATCTCAATCTCGCCTCGATAGTGTAAACTAAAGCGGGTCGTATGACCTGAGTGTTTATGTGGGTCTGCTACGCAACTTTTATTTCCTATCGCTAAAAAGAGCTCAAGAGCAAAAGGAGGAAAGAGGAAATTTATAAGTAACAGTCAGGCTTGTTATAAGCCATATGAAAACATCTCAGTAGATGAACAGTTATTTCCGACGAAAGCTCGATGCAGGTTTACGCAATATATGCCGCATAAGCCTCATAAATTCGGCATCAAGTTTTGGTTAGCAGTTGACGTGGAATCAAAATATATTGTGAACGGTTTCCCTTATTTGGGGAAAGATGAAGCCGGAAGCTCACAATCGTTGGGTGAGTTTGTCACATTGGCAATAGCCGAACCATATTTAGAACGAGGCAGAAATATAACAGATAATTTCTTAACAAGCGTCCCGCTAGCTCAAAAATTGCTTGCGCGAAAAACAACGTTGGTTGGGACCATCCGGTCAAACAAACGAGAACTGCCAAAACCCGTAAAAGAAAAAAAAGATAAGATGACTATGCTTTCCTCAGATTTATATAAATCAGAAAATTTTATCCTTACTGTATATAAAAGTAAGCCGAACATAAAAGTCCTCCTTCTAAGCACCAGACATACAGGTGTACAAATAGAAGACAGCCACAAACGTCTTCCAGAAACTATATCATATTATAATAAAACGAAGTTCGGAGTGGACGTCGTTGACCAGATGGCACGCAAATATAGCGTAAAAGCAGGCAATTTTCGATGGACTCTTCACATCTTTTTCAATATATTAGATTTGGCAGCAATAAATGCGTGGATACTATATAAACAGTGCACCGGAGCCAAAATATCTAGGAAACAATACATGTTTAGTTTAGTCGAGGAATTAGGTGCGGAAAACAAGGAGAACATTTGCCAACGATCAGACGCTTTTTCTTCATCTATAATACTACAAGAGCGAGAAAGTTGCCAAGTGGGCTACTGCAACAAAAATAAAAGCAGCAATTGTTGTATATCTTGCAAAGAAGTGGTATGCGGAAAATGCACAGGCAAAGTGCAATATACCTGTAAAATATGTATTCAATAAGTAGGATTACCCGTTAGTATTATTGTTATTATTTCCATGATATTTTTTAAAGGACTTTTTATTTCTTGATACTTTATTTAAACGTGAAGCCAAATATTATGCAATTTTGAGTTAACTTGAATAAATCTGTTTTTTTAAAGAAAGTGCGTATTTTCATTCACCCGTCAATTTGACGGGTGCCGTAGAGATAGGTATATAAAAAACGTCCGTAAACCTAGTGTTAATGTGAATACCGGAAATAGGACTTTCTAGATTAACTTAGAGAATTTGTTTTGCATAGCATCCGTCTATTTATTTTATATACTCTGTTCTTACTTTCGTGACAGCACCTAGTTACACTCCTAAGGTAGACCGTACTTTACGCAACGGGCTTCGTTATGGTTTCTTAAATCCTCGTTCCTCTCTTCTTCCCGTTGACGATCAGCTAGTGGATAATTTGCTGATTCTCGCTATTATCTTACATATACAGTATCGATGTTTCATCTTGCTGCGTCCCTTAGGACACTTGACGCCCAACGACAATATCGATCTAACCGCTCTGTTGATATTTACGAAATCCCAAGGCTTGTAAAGTGTGAAAATTAAGAAAAAACGTTACAATATGTAAGCAAATAATAAATATATTAAAATATTTATACAAAATTCAATAGCACGCAAGGAGACAATATATCAACTCCATCACAATTTTCTATTGTTCTTCAAATTCAGCATCAGTCTCTTCTGCTTCAATATCTCTTCTGAATCTTAGACCAAAGCCGGCGCCTAACTGAGGTTCCACCCTGCCATGAGGTCCTGTCTGTCCTTGACCGTAACCCTTGAGGAACAACCCATTGTCAAAGTTGTGCTCGAACCGAACTCCAGCGTGGGGTTGAACACGGCCAGATTGAATGTTCAGTCCACTGTAGGCATCAACTGTCCGCCTTCCGGTGTCAGAAAGTCGGTGTTCGTAGTTCACGTCGACTGATGGCTGCTTGTGGGAATTTCCAACGGGAATATTTCCCTGCACTCGAATTCTTCTGTTGGGATCATCCTCACGTCGGAACCGATACTGTAAAGGTTTTATAATTAGTTCACTGAAATAAAATCCATAGAGAGTACTTATAAATAGAAAAACGAAGGAAACATACTTGCGGATTATTCGGACGTGGGAAAGTAGGTCCAGTTGAACGAGGTGGCCATCTTTGGTTCGGCAAGGTAGCAGACACTGCTGCTACGGCGCATAGGAAGGCGGCAGCGATGATCAATTTCATGTTTATTATCTAAAAATAGAAATGATATGTTAAATGAAATTGATTCGGCTAATTTAAGTTTATTGGAATGTAATTATCGATGCTTTTGTTACAATAAATACCACCCAACTTCTAATTTAGCTAATTGTATTTTATCAATATGAGGATTGAATAAAATAATAAAAACGAATTTTCAAAAATATCTGAAAGAAGTCTATTTTATTGACTCATGTAAAACTGAACTCGTATGAATCATTTTCTACCAATTATCTTCTAATTATCTTTTATGTTGCTACTTACTATGTATCTTACTGCTTCTCAAGAGAAGATTGGAGAGTGAATGTATCTCTGGTCTGAAATCCTGACTTATATATGCATCATTTATCTACGACTAGGTTCGAATGAGTAACGCGGGATTACCCGGTACATTTTGTGCTGTGGGGGAAGCACCGAGCTATCGAGTTTAAGTATCAGATCTCCTTTTTTCATTTCATTCTCTTAGAGCTGGGGAAGATTTTTTACACTTTCTGATGAGGTGGCGAAATTGCAGTCGACAGTTAACTGATAACCCAACAAGCATAACAAATTATGCTGCGATACACGATACCGCATACAATACGCCATTTCCTTATGGCTAGTACTTATTAGACAGAGATGTAAGCCATAGACAAGGGTTCTAAAAATTTGTATTAAATCGATGAGTTTCACTATAATGTACAAGTCGAAATATTTATAAATGTCCTGAAACATCAAAATTACAGATGAGATTAACTTAGGAAATAGTGTAACGTTTACATATCGAATAATAATTCAATTTCCAAAAAGCTTATATTACTTTAATAAATTTAATTATAAAACAATACATATAATTGATTCATTGAAAACATTTCGTGCTCCTATCTACTTTAACTTCTTTACAACCAAGGGGAAACATATGGTCCAGTGATTTTAATATTACATAATTTTCATATAAAACAATAGTCATCAATTATATATAATGTATTTAATTTAGAAGAAAAATATTTAAATAACGAAGCAAATTAATTATTTTGTTTGAAAATGGATTTTGCTGTTACCTTATTGCAAGAAAATTTGTAATAGTCAATAATCAGTTGGAAGGCCGTAACTTATAACGAGTACAAAAAACTAAAGATATAAGTTCAATTGACAAAAAGCAATGTAATCATATAATAACTTTATATGAATGTATCTTTGTCAATGTTCTACAAACTTTTTTTTATAGTTTGCTATATTAAATCAAAAAACTTTTATTCAAGGTACAATTTAACTGTAACTCGTAAATAACTTGAATTTGAAGGAAGAAGAGAGTAGTGAGACATTTACTATTCATTTGAATACTTTGATGCTTGCAGTACTCAGCAGTTCTTTGTTAGGTTTGCTTACGATGGAAAAGCTTAAGGCAGCTCCATTTTTTGACAAATCAATAACTATAATATTTAGAAGTTACAGTAAACCACATTATCCATGTTTATTCTTTTACTACAGCGACCCAGCCAACAGTTCTGTGGCGCAAACAAATTCAGCTGTTAATCAGTGTCGAAGTTAAAGAAATGGCAGACAAATGTGCAAAGAAACGGATGAGGTGTGCCAACAAATAGTAGATACAAGACTGGCAGTTCACTATCCAATCTTTCCTAAGTAAAAAGATGTTAAAATTATACAGAAATTAGACTAGTATAACCTTTTTAGTATTTAGTATTTGATTCGTTAAGAATCTAATAACCATCTGTAGGTTAATAGAAATACGATTTACCTGTATTCAATTAATTTAAAGGAAATTGGGTAATAATAACATTAATGAAGAAATAATTTTTTTTTTTGGAAATTTTTACAGACACTCCATGCAGGAATTAGTTTAAGTGGTTCAAGTAGAATAAAATTAGAAATATTTATTTAACTTCTTACATGACTAACCAGAAAATTCGAACAGCTGTTAGTATATCATGCAATGCTGTAACACTCGAGAGTTCAGCATCAGCGTCATAGTTCATTCATAGTGAAAGGGGATTTTTGCATCTGGGATATGTACAGCCATATAGCCCCAACGACACGACGCATTCAAATGAATAAATGGTAATCCCCGAGATACATTTATGTTCTTCGTTTCCCTTTACTATAAAAGCATTTGAACTTGACAACATTTACGCATTTGAATTCAGACAGGAGCAGTGTGAATTCAGCAAAGGTGAGATTCATTATTCTTTTCGAAATTTTTTTCTAGAGATAATACAACTATGGTAATAATATGAGTCCATTAAACGTTAAGAATATATTAAAGCTTATTTAATTCATTAACAGAGTATTATTACTAATTACAGATAACATACAATGATGAAAGCAACCATTCTAGTGCTATGTGCCTTTGTCGCGGTTGGTTTCGCGGAATCTTCTCTTGGATTAGATGAGGACTCAAGCAGGCCCATTCTTGATGTGGTAAGTTTCAGTATATATTTATGATTAACTCTAAAATGTCACACCTCCCTGCGGGGCTGAATGGTAACGGCACACTGGGTGCATTTTATCCTACGGAACTGTCAGGCATTGGAATTTTCAGTGTAATTAAGATTTTTGGTTGGTTCAGCCGCAGAATTTTTCTTTAAAGTATTAAAAATACGACCGTATTGAAGAAAGTTGATTTTGGCAATTATTTACTGTTAGTAATCAGTATTTTCAAATGTACTTTCTCAAAGCTCCATTCCCTTAAGAATATTTTATCTTTTACAATTTTTTATTTTTGTGGCGGCGTGGCTAAGAGAAAGGTTGACCCTGTAGAACAAAATATCATTATTGTCCGCTTCAAAAAGTATAATTATTTGAGAAGATGCGGAATTTTCGTGGAAAATTCATAATTTATTAAGTACTGGTATTTTGTATATTTTTGACAACATGAAAAAGAGTAATGATAGCAATATTTGAAACAACGAAAGAACATTATGTGTGCCGTTGTATAGTTAATTTTGCAGTACACCGTATAAAAATTTGTATCCTCATAAAAATAGAGAAATAGAAGGAGTATTGGAATATTTTAATAATGTTTAATATTATTTTCTTTTATATTTAGGATGACCCATCTGCACCAATACAATATCGCGTCCAAAGATCACCTGAACCACAAGGATCATTGAGTGCTACATACGTAAAACCGCTTGATGGACCGGAGCGACGACCAACCTACAACTTTGATTATAATCACAGACTAGTTAATCGTAAAGATGGCAACATTGATCTTAGCGTTGGAGGTCAAAAGCTTCCTGGGAGGAGAGTTGAGCCCACAGTTGGTCTTTCCGGTACATTCCGCTTCCGTAGATCACCTGAACCTCAAGGATCATTGAGTGGTACATTTTCAAAACCATTTGGTGGACCTGAACGACGACCAACCTACAACTTTGATTATAATCACAGACTAGTTAATCGTAAAGATGGCAACGTTGATCTCAGCGTTGGAGGTCAAAAGCTTCCCGGAAGGAGAGTTGAGCCCACAGTTGGTCTTTCCAGTACATTCCGCTTCCGTAGATCACCTGAACCTCAAGGATCATTAAGTGGTACATTTTCAAAACCATTTGGTGGACCTGAACGACGACCAACCTACAACTTTGATTATAATCACAGACTAGTTAATCGTAAAGATGGCAACGTTGATCTCAGCGTTGGAGGTCAAAAGCTTCCTGGAAGGAGAGTTGAGCCCACAGTTGGTCTTTCCGGTACATTCCGCTTCCGTAGATCACCTGAGCCTCAAGGATCATTGAGTGCTACATACGTGAAACCGCTTGATGGACCGGAGCGACGACCAACCTACAACTTTGACTATAATAATAGACTAGTTAATCGTAAAGATGGCAACATTGATCTCAGCGTTGGAGCTCAGAAACTTCCTGGAAGTAGAGTAGAGCCCACAGTTGGTCTTTCTGGTACATTCCGCTTCCGTAGGTCATCTGATTCGGAAAACTGATGCCACGAACTCTTCAATGCTCAACTCGATGGGCTATAGTGTCATTGATCTTTCAATATCGAGTATCAACATCGCAAAACAAGAATTGTGGCATTAACGATGCTGGAATGTAAAAGCAGTTCAACTTCAATCTCTGAGTTGTAACCAACGTAGCTTCTTCCTTGCAGATTTGATATTATAATAAAAGAAATGCCCCTTAGGGAGGAGTAATGAAATCAGTAACTTATAGGGAATTGTTAATAATTGAAAGATTATATAATTTATGTTTTTTAATAAAATTATTTTCGTACTACTATTTTTAATTTTATTCTTCCTATACATTTGCGTGTACCTATATGCATGTAGCTACGGCATATGCCCAACTATCACTTGTCACTTTTACAGTATTCCATGACTCCGGACCGCCTCTGCTATGTATGCATTCGCAAATTATGCATTGGTCATTTTGTCAGATATTTACAAGTAAATTAAATATTTAGGCGTTCGAGTTTAATGAATCACCCTGTATATTATCATCTGAAGCCACTACGCTATAGCCGTTTTTCTATTACGGCATTTCTCTTAGATATGCAACGCTGTTACAGAATTCGGTTAAAATCAATCAGTAAGTTTTCTATTCTAAGTGATATTCGTTGACTAGGAAAGTAGAGACCAAAGCCATTTGTCGTGTAAACAGGGAAAAGGATGTGCAAAGACGACGATGGTATTGAAACTGGAAAACTGATGCTATCGCACATCATCGAATATCTCTGTGACAATTGATTCAGGATATTTAATATTAACATGAATACAATAATTAACTTGTTCCGATCTATAGCCATCCTTGATGAAAATATTTTTACAATTTTTTTTAAGTATGTGATTTGAGAAATTTCATCGTTTTAATTTTTAATAATTAGAACATTCGATTGTCATTATTGTCAAAGTGAGGAGTGTAACGTTCTACCGTCTGAGCCATCAGTCCGATTTGTAAATCTTACTGAGGTTAAGGGGGCTGGGGGAGTTATGTCTAACCTAAAAATAAAATATCGTAATTTATAAGAATATAGTAATAAATTCTCATGTAAACGCAATACAAGCAGATTTTTGATGCTGCATTGTTACTTGCATGTTACTTTCATCTGAAATAGTTACGAAATAAAGGAATGAGACGCGTGCAATTTTTTTACGTTATAAAATGCTTGTGCAAAAATTTTGCATTTATCTTATTCCTTTATTTTTCGTCCAATCTCCAAGCGTATTCGTTCACATACTCGTGGAATGCCACACTCGCAACTCATCACGTCACTGATCTAAATCTCAAACATCGCAAATTAAAATATTCATGTTTCGAAGTTCATTTAATAAGTAGTCCATCCGCTTGCACATCTCTCATGAGATAAACTGACGAGAAGCTGTGAGTGCGAGACAAACTAACAATACAAACTGATAGGAAAATGTTAGAAAACTTGGACCGTGAAACAATTTCTAATCGTGCGATTCGTTTAAAGCAACTAAATTTTGCCTTACACGATTGTACCTTCCACCACGTAGCCATGACCTGCGCGAATTCTTCGTTCTGATTGGTGCATCTTAAATGCTTCTCAATTCAAAACTATTGCAAATTTGGACAAGCGCTTTGCGGGAAGGTACTTGGGAGACTTCCAGCTATCGCCCACTTTCCGATATAAAAATAGTTTTAGAACACCCTGTATAATACATATATTCTTGTACCACTAGTTCATTAATATCATTTGGACATAGATTAGATAAAGTACAAACTAATGACTAGCGTTACAGATACGGCCAAAAGAACAGGAATGTAAACAAATGTATAAAATGTGTCTGAATATATAAAAAAACCTTGAATTGACAGTAAATTTGCACTGTTAGAATATAAGATTACGAAAGCTTCAATACAATGTAAGAAAAATTTAGCAACGCAGAAACAAAATATATTCTAAAGTACTAAGTAAATGTAGCTCAATAAATTAAAGAATAAAAAATTTAATCATTTCCAGTTTATTAGTATAAGACGATTTGTAGATCAATGCAAGTAGAGTTAGAAGATGTAATTACAATTATTCTCCGAGTCATAAAGGCATTTCACAAATGTAGTACCATTCGGAAGAGCAGGGTACATCATTCATTGTTCCATTTTGACGCAGAACGGCACAATCCTCGTTTCCTCCAGCGTCATTCGGCTCGCCAGGAGCCCATACATTAAATCCTGCACTTTCCAGTGATTTCCCGTGAATAGTAATCCATTCGCCTTCTAGGAATATGTCGTGTGCACCTATATAGGCGGACCGAACATCTTCATCCGCCATCAACTGACCTAGTACATCTGCCTCTTTCAGTGAATTGATCATTACCAGATGAGCTGTGAATTGAAAACAAAGGTACAAGCTTTAAGATTAGCACAGACATATTTGTCTATTAAACATTACCATTTTCCTCCATGCAAGCTTTATAAGCACCGTACCAGGCAAGCTTCCTTTTCTGAAGCTTGTATACACCAACATCCTGTATCCGAGTATAATCATCTCTTATATTATTTATTGGTTTATTTTCCAATACATTGGCATCTGAATAGCCGCCGATTAGTAAGTTATGAATGGTTATATTTGAATTATTAAGATTTAAAGTCGCGGTAGAACTTCTTGAATTAGCTTTTGTGCCGTTGAGAACGTCATTAGTAATGTTTGAAAGTCCACTGTGATTAACACTGTTCATTGTTAATTTATCCACAGTGGTATCGCCGGTTGTTAGGTCGTCTTCATTAGCAAGTACCGTTTCCTTCCACGAAATGGCGACTAAGTAAATTATTGTGCAAGCGAGATGCTTCGATCCAGAATACATTTTCGCTGTCCCAGACAAGCAGAAGAAGTCTTACTGATAACTGTTGCTGCATTGCGTTTAATTTATATCATGTATGTAATTCAGAGGTCGAGTATATCTCATAACTTCATGAACTAGAGCAGATAAATTCATTCATATGAAATATTGTCCACGGCACGATACTATTATTAGGTTATGTGTCTCATGCGTTGGTGTAACATCAGGACAATATTGGACCGTTTGTACGCAAATTTCGGTTCACCATTGCGACTCGATACATTGGACCTGTGATCTTTTTCTTTTCTTCTTCATCTTTCCAAGGAATTAATTTCTCTTTCTCTGGCACTTTCGTTTTGTAACTTGTGGTATAACAATAGACTCATGACCTGACGCTTTAAAAACAATGTGAGCTATTTGGTAACGTTAAAAAGAAAGCCTAAATTAATTTTAAAAAATCACCTTCATTCCCATTGTCATTGTCTACGTATGTAATATTGATAGATCACACTGCAGCACTCGTCATTGTTTTTATGTCTTTAGCTTGTTGCATTAACGATACTTGTTTTTTTCTTTTCATTGTCTGCTGCTAGTTTCATTGGGTTTTCTTTCTCATTAAAAAAAAAATGTTTTTCTAGCTTTGACATCTATAATTCATCCATGGCTTTCTTATCTGTTCCTAAGGAACTGAGGAAACAGATTTATTAAAAATTTATAAAATAAAAAATCATTTAAAATCCAAAAATACGCACGAATAGCACACTTGCGCATCCTTTAACATTTGCACTATAAGTGGGCCAAGTAGAATCGAGTTTGACCTGTTTTCGAATCACTCCATGAAGTTTACTAATCGTAAGTAAACTATCTATATAAGGAGGTTTTTAATACTTTGATTCAAATAATTTCTATCTTACGTTGTAAGTAAGTCAAAATTGTGGAAGGCACTCATTTTTCTTTCAGAGAAAATTTCTTTGTTAGAGATAAATTCAGCGAGGTCACGATCGAACTGTATGAACTATCAAAAATAAAATGCGACTCCAGTCTAACTTTGTCAGGAAGATCAACTTTAAGATTGTCTGTATGTCAAACGTTTAATTTGATTGTTCAGGAAATTTTCTAATGATCAATATGAATAGTCAAATAAAAATGATTATTAGCTATATTCTGAATTACTTATTATCCAGATTCTTACAACGGATTGACATTTGTGCGGGCTATAGGTTCGTTTTCATTGTATACTCTGAGCCTCGGCACTCGCAAAACGAAAGTTTCTTCTCTTTCAACTCTCACTCATGTAGTATACTAACACATAAAAAAGTAAGTTCTATTCCCCCTTAACCTAATCATTTGTTCGTGTTCCGTACTGAGAAAATGGAACAGGAGCTCTAACGCCGAAAATATCAATACGAAGAATCTGAAAAAATTTTAGAATATGTAAAACAATATACAGGTTGTGTAAGAACGCTAAGAATCCTTCTGTGATATGCAGTTTTTGAAAAAAAAAGAATTGAAAAATCTAAAAAATTCATTTTTTTGTTATAAATCCGTATTTTGTTATCAAATAATTAATTTGGTTTACCATAATCAATGTATAATAATAATATGGATGAAATTGTTAGAAAACATTGAATAAAATATTATGCCCGGCACTCGTGCAGTAGCGTTGCGTTGCGTCCCGAGACCTACGGTTTCGATTTCATTGGGTACGAAACTTGTAATATATCTTTCTATTATTTTATTCGTTTTTAAATTATGCTTATGAATATTGAAAGATAAATAATATTACGGACTGAGTAACGCGAAAGAAACACAAAACATTTGGATATTTTTACAAACGAACATATAATTCCTAACGTCCCTTATGTCCAAATTTATAAAATTACGCACACATTACCCATACGTTACGTGCTTTATATTGCTGCAGATGAGTTCAGCGAGATCCGAAGCTCAGCGATACACGTCTCGATAATGAATTTGTCCCTCCGTGAGTCCACGTTGATATAAATTTTCCATGTTTGAGGTGATGATTTTAAACTCTAATCACATGAGGTCCAACTCGCACTTGCTTGCGATTTTTTGGATTCATTTAGTCATTCGTTTCGACATAATTATCCGTTGCCTAACGGAGTCACTCTTTCGTTCGTTGATTGTGCTAGTTTCAAGTTATTTATTGGAAAGAGTATCGAGTAAAGCGTCGCAAAGTCTGACGCTTCAGCAGGAAATGAATAAGAATGCGATAAGAATCCTTGAGGTTGGTTTCCATCGCTTAGCGATCGTAGATGTGACGTCAGTTGTAGGACCTTCAAAATACCTTCGAAGCATAAGAAATTTAGGTATTTGTATAGTGTGAATACTGAACATTGAAGTTGTATACACTTTTGTTACCTCGCGTTCCAGTCGAGGTGATTGAAGTCTGACATTACTATACTATATATAAAGTCATTTAGTAAACGCCATCAGCAAATTGTATGGAAATGTTGATGCTTGATATACTTACTGTTCCTGTCTACAATTATTGTACAGTGAGTACATGTGCATATTATTGCGTTAACAAAGTGTATACTGTTCGTGCGCTATAATAAGATTTCAGGATTTGATGATGAAGCATGATATGACTACGCATGTTACCTGGGTATACTATATAAGCGTATGAGTTCAATAGTGTCAATAATATATGAATTTTAATCATCAAAATTTAAACACTATTACATTATCTTTCTATGCCGATAACAAAAATATAACAGTAGTGTAGATATTAACAAATAAAGATTTTATTGAAATCATCAAAATTTGGTATACAGCAGAAAATATTAATGGGTCATCAGAATACTCAAAGCATATGTATTAACTTTTAATTCATAGAGGAATCTCACAAATGTAATAATGATCAATTCCACATCGCACATCATCCATTCCTCCTTCTATGCGTATAACAGCACAATTCTGATTCCCGAAAAAATTATCTGGGTTATTAGGCCAGAGATTAGACCACTTATTGAATCCAGCTTTTCCCAATGATTCTCCAGTAATGACCGCCCAATCACCTTCTTGGAACATATCGTGTGCACCTATGTAAGCCTCTTTGGCATCTTCTTTTTTTGCCAACAGTACACGTAGTGCTCTTTCCTCCTTTTCAGAATTGATCACTGCTAGGTGAGCTGCATAATGAAAAATTGTCATAATTAAAGCTTATTTAAGTATTACATTCACTGAGATGAAGTTACTTGTTACACAGTACCATCCTCATCGTTGCAAGCTTTGCGAGCATTATTCCAGTTTGCTTTTTTCATGTGAAGTTTGTGATAACCGATACCTTCCGTCAGGGTATAGTCATCCCTGACATAGTTAATTGGTGTTTCATGTGCAGTCTCATTGGCGTTTGAACCAGGAAAAGTAAATGGTATATTAAAGTTTATGGATCCTGCACTGATATTTATAGACGAAATAGAGCTCAATGAATTGATTTTTCTTTCGTTCAGAACGCCCGAGATTATTTTGAGAAGATCACTCTTTGAATCGGTCTTTGGTACTATTAATTGTTCCACATTGGTGTCAGTATCCCCTTTTGCTCTTATTATACAACACCAAAGTATCGCTAAACTGTATAATACTCTATAGCGTTTCCACGTTTCAGAATGCATTTTCATTTTTTATCCAACACAAGGCAAAATTAAGAATTTACTGAAGTGTCTTGGGAGTTGTCTGTGCTTTATAAAGCAGACTTATCTCATCTAACGATCAGGGACCTTTGTAAAACTTCGCAAACAGGAACGCGGTTTCCTGAGATATTTCCGCATGGATAAATGTATATGTGAATTTTATATGGTACATATATAGGGCAATTCATGACAAATGCAGCAGCTGAAGTTGAACGCGATTGAACGATTTCGTTAATCGAGGCAGTGTGACCTTGTTAAACAAATGAAAGATTCTAAAGATCATGACATTAATAATGGCAGGATGTTACCTTTCATTTTTTTTAATGACGTTTAACTGTTCTGACTGATAAAATCATCCATCTGCAGCCAACTTCAGCTGGTGCGTTTGCTGTGAATAACCCTGTATGTAAAAACAGGCGGATGAGTACAGCGGTTAAAATGATATGTAGTAATATATAAAGATGTGCACGGAAAAATATATTATTATCGCAATGACATGTGAACGCGCGTAAGCATATGATGTTCTTAGTTCCGACAAGAAATCATGTATGCAAAACTCCATATTATAAGTAATTTTAACTACGCGACTGTATGGGATACCATAAAATTGTAATAAATGAATTTTGTTAAATTATAGATGTTCAATAGTTCAACAGAGAATTGTAAAAATTACAGACAGTAACAGTAACAGTAACAATTGAAGGAAAATACCAAAAAATGTGATGTTTTAGTATTTTTTTTTCTGTAGAATCAAATGACTATTTGTTTAGAAAAACACGTCGTTAATAGTTTGTTTAAATGAAATAAGAAAAAACATATTTTGTTTTTGCCCAATGCCCTAATTGCGATATTAACCCTTTACACTCCAAATAATTCAATGATATGCTGGTTATGAACTCCAAGATGTTTTTTCTTAGATATCTGAGTTACAGAATGGCAACGAAAAAATCTTTACAATTTATTAGATTATACGACATTTCTTATTAGAGTTTAAAGAAAATGATAAGTTTTGAATATTTTCATTTGGAAAATGGAAATAGAACATCACATCTAGAGTTTGTTCCGTCAAACTGTTGGCATCTTTTTTTCCTGTTTTCGCTTTCACATTTTATTTGTAGTAACAAAATTATTTTTAGTTGAAATGACACAAACACCAACGGAAACTCGATTAGTAATTTATTTGTTCTCTAAAGTAGTGGACCCGTAATCACGTTTCGAAAAACTTTGCAGATCATAAGTTCATATACTCAGAATTAGAATAACAGTAGTATAAACGTAAAAAAGTATAATCACCTGAGGACATTAATGAACGATCGCTTATCAATGCTTATATATGTAACTGATAGACTGTGGGCAGTGACACTGGCCGTAGGAGTATAACGTCTTTAAGTGCTTGGGCATTACATCAGGCTTCAAGAGTGCAAAGGGTTAAATTCTTCTTGATCTCTACTATGTTAGCGGTGGGCCTTAACGGGTCAAAGAAAAAAGTTAAAATACGTATAAAACCAATAAATTTATTTAAATATTTATACAAACTTAAATAGCAATCAGGGAGATAAATACATCAGCTCCATCACAACTTTCTACTGTTCTTCAAATTCAGCATCAGTCTCTTCTGCTCCAACATCTCTCCTGAATCTTAGACCAAATCCGGCGCCTAACTGAGGTTCCACCCTGCCATGAGATCCTGTCTGACCTTGACCGTAACCCTTGAGGAACAAACCATTGTCAAAGTTGTGCTCGAACCTGAATCCAGCGTGGGGTTAAACACGGTCAGATTGAATGTTCAGTCCACTGTAGGCATCAACTGTTCGCCTTCCGGTGTCAGAAAGTCGGTGTTCGTAGTTCACGTCGACTGATGGCTGCTTGTGGGAATTTCCAACGGGAATGTTTCCCTGCACTCGAATTCTTCTGTTGAGATCATCCTCACGTCGGAACCGATACTGTAAAGGTTTTATAATTAGTTTACTGAAAGAAAATTCATAGAGAGAATTTATGAATAGAAAAACGAAGGAAACATACTTGTGGATTATTCGGACGTGGGAAAGTCGGTCCAGTTGAACGAGATGGCCATTTTTCGTTTGGCAAGGTAGCAGTATCTGCGGCTACGGCGCACAAGAAGGCGGCAGCGATGATCAATTTCATGTTTATTATCTAAAAATAGAAAGGATATGTTAAATGCAATTGATTCGGATAATTTAAGTATATTGGAATTTAATTATCTGTCACGTGCCGTGCCTTTTTGAATTTGGATCTCGCACATACATATATACGAACGATGATGCAACAGAGAAACCACGCGATTTCGGAGATGCCGACTCCAGCAATATGTGAGGAAGCTAGCTTTCGGTCTTATCGCACCAAGAACGTGCTGAAACGTGTGAACTGAAAATTCCAGGATTCACGCGAGCGGGTAAAACCGCTGAATTAGTAAGATTTGCCCCTACCTGTCCACCTAGTTTCAGCAGAAAGTAGGATGGAGTAGGGAAGGCAAATTAGTCTCCAGATACACACCACGACCGCATAGTTCGGGCTGGAATAGCTCTTCACAAATTGCATCGCGCGGCGGTATCATTCTCACGGGAGTTCCGCGTACTGTTATCTATCGCCGTTTGTAACTCGATTAAGACGTATCGAGCCCCACGAGTTGCACGCGTAGCGTATTAGTCAATGTGAGCTTAGATAGTAGTATTCTGATTTTTACCACGAAAGTAGATACACACCACTCCTGGCCGTCACAACAAACCCCCACCAATGTCCCGATGAGTCATAGAGAGCATCGCGCTGTGTCTCCCCGCGCTGCACTATGGCGCCGCCCCCTCGTCGATGTGACCACCTCTCCCCTCCCACCTGCGACACTGTGGTGGACCCACCACCACGCGGTCCTAAGGCCCGAAACTACCCAGTAGCAGCGTTACATGTCCCCCAGGGGGCGTATCACGGTCGGTAATTATGCAGTGACCGCCGGTCGGTAATTTTTTTAATTATCCTAAGGAGGTAAGTGTCCCATGGTGAAGTAGAACACAGTGTTTTTGTAAGAAACGCTATAAATATATATTATAAAGCTGTCTGGTGTGATATATTTTCGATGATTAGCCTGAGCCCTGTATAGAGGAATACGCTTAAACAGGCGTTTCGCATCAGGGCTGCCGAATCGGGTATGAATCTTAAACGTAAGGCGGAGGCGAAAATTGACGAGCTCATGAAAGGATCGGGCTATAAAGCTGTAAAACGATCACGCGGCGCCCACTCTATCATCGGCGTCGCTGGAAGGAGTATCGCCTCAAGAGCTGCAAGCAAGCGTAATAGACGTATGGGAAAGAAGCCTGCGCCGCGTCGAAAAAAAAGTAGTAAAAAAATAAAGTCAAAAACCAAGAAACCCAAAAATCGTCGTAGGGTCGCTAGTAAGAGAGTAAAGCGGAGTGTGCGCGAATAGGCAGGCTTTCGTCGGTAAAGACAAGACGGTCGATCTAATCAGTCATTTACACTGCGATGTGTTTAACCAAGAAAAATTTTTATTAAATGGTGTCGAACTCCGATTACGTCTCGTACGCACAAGAGACGGCTTCTCCCTCATGGACCCCAAGAGCGGGTGGGTACACTACAAGCCAATCTCATCGCTGACCGATGACTCGCCCATTGAATTTGTCGTGTCGGGTAATGGCGACGAGTACCTTGATCTAGCACACACTATACTGAGTTTACGCGTATAGCTGCGCTCCAAGGACGCGTCAGCAGCGGACGCTCTGAGCAAAGGAGCCCCCGTTAACAATCTGCTACACTCGCTGTTCAATCAGGTGGACGTG